AGTGAAGGCGATGTCTTTTCTAAACATGGGGATGCCTGTTTGTTGATCGCTTCCACCCGGTACAGTAATTGCTGCTGCGAATACGATGGTGGTAATTAGTGCAGCACTGATACTGCATGATTCTGCTGTGGTTTTCATCCATTTTTCTCCCTCCTTCACCAAGTTCTCATGTTCCCTWGTAAACACCTGATGAGGTGTCTCTCCAAAACAGTTTTCTTCAGTGATGGCTGATGGATGCATGAAGTTCTTCAGCTCCTATATGATCATTTATCATTAGGCCACTAAACAAATCATGATTCATACTTGGATTTAATATATGTACCTCAAACCATTGAAGCTCCCTTTGTAGTTGCAATGCTGCACCTGTTCTACGTTTGAGTACTTGTGAAGGTGCCAATCTTCCAGCCAAGTGTAACATATTGTTTTCTGAAGAATCTTTGATGGTTTTATAGCGCTTCTTATCCTCACCAATTAGATAAAGGTGATTGTAGATTTTGTCTGAACGATATATTACTGCTAATTGAAAAATGTCATACCCATTTTCATGTCTACTCTTAATTAATTCACGCGAACGTCTAAAAATATTTATAAAAACTTTATTAGCATTTTTTATTGCTGCCTCAAGAATTGCTTTGTCGTAATACGGATGATGAGTACCATGGAACTTCAACTTGTCTATATAGGCACATACCAATCCTAGAACCATTGCAGCGTCTTTCGATACCTTAATTTTCTTCTCGATATGCTTAATGGGTGGAACTACAAGTTACAAAATTATAAGTCAAAAAGAATCATCAAGATTTTGTTAATTCCACAATGAAGGATCGGAACTCACTCCATATGTTCTTACCTAGCGTTGCTACGGCCTTCCACAAAAGCAAATAAAGCAGACGAAGTGGGAGAAAAACCATCCACATTAGAGATCTTATCAATCCACGCACCCAAAAAAATGTAAACACCGGAACTGCATGCGTATGCACAATCAAATGCATAAAATTAACATTAGGTTCTTTTAAGACCACCCATGCATGCATGCATAAATCTTTCAACATCCAACTCAACCAGGTATCAAATGCATTTGACATAGTTTGGTTGCTGTTTACCTCTTAAAAAGAGGTGGCGATGGCTCCCCAATACCCACCCGCTCCTCTGCCACGACCGCCACCACAGACGTGATGATTGAACCAACCAAAAATCTTGGTCGAGTATATCATCAAAAGCTTAAAGAGAAAAAAACACCCGTAAAACCGATTAAGAAATAAAATATCTGAATACATTAGTATTTATCAATCGGGGGCGAGGGGCTTAATTAGAAACTTACTGTACAGAGAGGTAAGTGTGGGATAGATAAGTGTTTCCCAGTAGTTTAGTTCATTAGGAAAGGTCCTAGCTATAGCCATCAATACTCGATCACTTTCCATACAGAAATGAGGAAACGTCCGGATTAAGTCATATGCTGTACCTGCAAAGGAGTGTGAATCTGTATATATGTCTCTGGGGGTTATCATATATAAATTATGGGATATTTTTGCTATATATATATATATAATATATATGCACTCACTCACTGTAGTATTTTGCAGTAATGGCATTGACAAGAAGGCTCGCTCCCTTTTTGGAGCCTTGAGAAATGATCAGCTGCTTTAAATTGACTTTGTCATTATCAAGGGCGACTTTGAACAAATATGCAAAGGTCTGAAATTGCATATTGTTAAAAGCTTTAATCAATGGATCTTGGCCTTTTTTGTCTCCAATTGTCAATAGGTCCTTGTGCTGATCAACCAACAGCTTCATTGCATGTTTGTTACCAACACTTACGGCAACGTGAAGGGCCGTGCTTCCATCCGCATTTTTCTGTTCAAGTATTTCTTTTTCTTCTTCCTTTTTTTTTATAAACAGTAACAACTTTTCGAGTATATGGTTTTGACCCTTTTCAACCACCATGTGAAGCATTGTGTTCCCGTTACCCCATATTTCTTCTTTCAATGCATTCTTATCAGTTTCCAATATCATTTTTATTTCCCGCCAAATCCATTCCGATGTATCCTTATACAACATCCATCCGAGTGTGCTCCATAATTTCGCATGCATTCTTTCTGTTTTTAATGAAAATGGGTCAGCTTCTATGTCTTCTGAAATCGCGTCTTTGCTTTCGGTTTCTATCTCTTCTGGACCTACAACATGTATATATATATATATATATA